GGAACATCTTTCTACATCTGATGGTGGAACATCTTTCTACATCTGATGGTGGAACATCTTTCTACATCTGAGGAGCAGAGGTTCAAACTGGACTAGAAATTCTCCAAACTGACTCAAACTGTCCATAATGACTAAATTCATCTTGGACACATTCTGAGTTTTTATGGGTTTTGAGTCTTTTTGGACGAGTCTTGGTTCTGATAGTTTGAGTTGTTTGACGGTTTGTAGAACAAATGGGTGAAGAAGTGGTTCTTGTGGACGGTGACCGTGTGATGCAGCAGAAGACTTTTCTGAGTTCTCTCTGCTTCTTGTTGAAAACTCAGAAAGTCACTCAGAGGCTAAAAATGTGAGAGTCTGAGCTGCCAGAAGCTGCTGCTGCCAGAAAAACAAAGAAGTCAGATTGTGTTTCATCCTCTGAGTAGAACTTAGACGAGGATCGACTCCACTGAGGCTCATTAAACCCTCATTAAACCCAGATTAGACGTTTCTACTTTGAACTGATTCTCCTCTGAGACGGATCAACACCTCTCTGCAGATTTAAGGTTATTACATCTGTCAACAAGCAGAAGTTCTTCCACCGTCAGACACCAAACTCCGGACGGTTCCTGGTAATCTGACTGGGTTCTGTGGTTCTGGACTCACATGGCCGGCGTCCCGGGCGTCTGCGGGTTGTACTGGGGGTTGACCTGTGGAGACGGGACCTCCGGGTATCCCGGGGTTTGGGGGTTCGGCGTCCCTCCGTAGCCCTGCGGCGACGGCGAGGGCTCGTCGTCGTACGGGAAGTCGTACTCTTCCTCGTTCCTGCGGAGAACGACGCTCGTCAGACAAAGACAGACAGAACCTTCAGAACCGCCCCGTAGGACTGGATGGACTCGTACCTGGAAGGCGTGTTGGGGTTGCTGGGGTCCCAGGCGCCGCTCTGACCCGGCGTCCGGCTCCCATCATGCAGCGGGGTCTGAGAGCCGTAGTGAGGCGTCCGACTTCCTGTCAGAGAAACAACCACAGAGGAGCTGCTGTTAGTTACATTCTGGTTCTGGTTCTTCTGCCCATCGATTACTGACTGAAAACAACAGAGAAACCTAAAAAATCATAAACAAAAAAACAACAGCGAAAACTAGAAATAAATAAACACCTGGAGCATTTCAAAACAACTGATTAAATATAGAAATAAAAAACAAAAAAGGCTGTACAAGCAGAACAGCAATAATTTAGCCTGTAAAAATATAAAAAAAACAAAATCAAAACATAGAGCCAAAAAATAAACAAATTAAATAAATCGCAAATAAAAAAAATTCTGAAACAAAAATTAAAAAGCCTGTAGAACCAAAATAACAACTAAGAAGTAAAAAATAAAATAAAATAAATGTAAAATCAAAAATGAAATGCATGTAGAAATAAAACACAAGTAAATGTAGCTGTAAAAAAATTAAGCAAAAACCTTTTTAAAAAAAATAAAATGTAAAAATAAAAAAATAAATAAAATTCAGAAATAAAAAATAAATAAATAAATGTAGACATAAAAAAATACTTGAATGTAAAAATAAAATAAATAAAAGGTAGAAATGTTAAAATAATAATAATAATGAACCAATGTGGGTAGAAAGGCTTGTAGAATTAAAAAAATAAAAATAAAAGCAGAAATAATAATGTAGAAAAACATAAATGGAAATATGGGGGGAATTAAATATAATTGTTTCCCTTTTAAAAACTAAAATGCATTTTTTAATTTTGTTTGCATGTTTGGTTCATTTTTCTTTTTCATAAATCAGGTTTTAATTATTCGTTTCTTCAAAACAAACTTAAAGGAGCCCGACTGATTCAGACGATAAAAAATATTCAGTTTATCATCACGAAACAAAAAAAACTTCAAACCGGAGAAAAACTCTTGAAGTGAAAAAAATAAAACCAAATACTGAAATCGCTGCAAACATTCAGGGACGGGTTTTAATGTTTTCGTGGGGAAGCGGAACAAGACCAGACAAGAGAACGAAAGGCCTCACCGTCGTGTAGCGGCGTCTGGGATCCGTACATCGGCGTTCTGGACCCGGTTCCGTACATCGGGGTCTGGGATGAGTAGACAGGAGTCCGGCCGTGGGCGGACGTGGTGCCGCTGTGGCGCTTGGCTCCCCTGAAACGGCAGGTAAAGGTGAGATCCAAACCCGACCGTCACAGAAGAGCAGGAAACACAGAAGGTCAGCAGAAAGCAAAACGGATCCAGAATCCTCTCCTTTAAATCTCATTACGTTCAGCTTTCAACATGTGCAGGAAATTACAGTTTTAATTTCTCAGTGAGGGATAATAAACTGCAGAAACTGTCTCGGCCACAGTTGGAGACACTGGAGGATCTGAGGCGGTTTCAGGGCTCGATGACTTTTATCGTCCAACATGACGGTAAACAGAAGATCTGCTGGTTTTGATTGACGAGGTGACGAAGACGTCGACCTCCAACAACCATCTGGGCTCCAGCGGACACATCCATCACGCTCGTTTGTTTTGTCTTTGATTCTTCCTAAAGAAACTGTTGTGTGCCTGTTTGGCTCAGAGCAGAAAACAGGACAAACCTCTAAAACACGTCTTTATACTATAAAATAAAACACGTGTTAGATCTATGAAGTTTGCAGCGACTGACTCTGGACGGTCTCTGAACCTGAGATCAGGTCTTGGTCTCTATAGTAAAGTTCTAGGTTCTTGCTCTGTGCTTGTTTCCTCTGACTGGACCCTGCTGGTGCTGGATCTACTCTCAGCTGTCCGGCTGCAGGACAGCGAGCCGGAACCGGCGCCGTGGGTACGTACATGGTGGTGAGGCGCTGCCGGTCCACGGAGATGGTCTGGCAGGTGGAGTGCAGCTCGACTCGGGCCGTCGACTCGGTGGCGTCCTTCACCACGCCGATGTAACCTGGAAACGGAGGCGGGTCGGTGAGCGGCGCCGTGAGAGCAAACGGACACTAAAACCTGTCGAGGCGAGTCCTGACCTTTGTAGGGGCCCTGAGAGATGCGGACCGTCTGACCAATCAGCTCGTTGTCCCGCCGGCCTCGGCCACGCCCCATCCCGCCGCCGCCGCCGCCTCGCTGCTGAGCGCCTGCAGGACGAGTTCATCAGACCAGACGTTAACTTTTAATTTAAGCGTCTTAAACTCAAACTGAACTAAAACACAAACGTGAGTGTTTCTGTCACAACACGTTTCTAAGAGTTTATTTCAGAATAAATGCGTGACTGACGGCGTCAGTTTCACAATAAAACCAACGATAAAGTCCTAAAGCTCAGATCATCACCTTTATTCACACAAACACGAAGCTAACCGCTAACCGCTAACCGCCGGGAAGCTTCTCTGATCGATATTAAAAAAACACCGTCCTAGTTATTTATTAGATATATTTTATTACATATATTTTATTAGATATGTTTTACTTCTGCTCTGTTCGCTGCAGGTGTTGATTATTATTTTATTTGTACAGGTATGTTTTTTTTAGATTTTTTAAAATTGATTTTAAATCTGTTTTTTGTATTTCGGTTGTACATGTCTTTATTTCTTATTTTATTTCTACGTGTAACTTTTAAATCATTTTATTTGAACATGTATGTTTCTTTAGATTTCTTTTTTTGTCAAAACTATTTGCTTAATTTTTTTGTTGCTATTTTTTTTTCCACTACCGTGTGTTTATTTATTTTTGTGTTTTTCACTGTTACTTTTCTGAATTATTATGTATTTATTTAGATTCTTTTTTTAAATTCTAAAGGTATTTCTTAACATTCTAAATGTTTTTTACGATATTTATTTATTTTTTTTAGATTTATTTCTTTATTTGCTTTCAACATGTATGGATTTGTTTTTTGTTTTCAGTTTGTTTTTGTTTTTAAAGATTTGAAACCAACGCTGGTTAGGGTTTAGTTCTAAGGCAGGTTCTGGAGGTTTAAAGTGGTTTGGACGGAACAACTCGCCGCCGGAGCGTCTTTCATCTGTAGCTCACCTCCTCCTCCGTGGTGCATCGGGCTGCTGATCCGAGGACTCATCGGAGCGAAGCCTCCCACCGTGAAGTTGGTCACGTCTCTGGGCTGCAGGACACGACACGCGTTGAGCAACGACACATTTACATCCAGCAGGTTAATAAACACGCCGCTCATACACGACGTATGAAGCGCTGATGGTGTGAAGCGGCAGAAATGCAAACAAACGCTGCCGGCTGAAGAGTTTCACACGTTGAACCGACTGAATCCTCGTGCTCACGTTTAAGTTCACCACACATGAGCAGAAAGCCTGCAGGGCCTGTGGTGAACAAATCCACCCAAACCTTCTGTAAATGACGCACAGACCATAAAACTAAAAGAACACACATGTGAACGAGGGTCTAACGTGGATTCTGGACTCGGAGGAACCACTTATTTGGCAAACTGGATGTTTTCTCTTATTGTTCTGGGAAAATTCAAACTGATGTAATCGTTAATTACATTTTCCAACATTCTGTTTGTAATTTTTCTGGATGGATGTAGAACTGATCTGGTGTCAGGTTCTATCAGAACCCAGATGTGTTCTTCCTCCTAAATGTCATGTGTCTATCTGCTGTACTGATGAAGTTCTGAGGCTCAGAAATGATGGAAAAAGTCCATTAAAGTGATCAATCTGGACCCTCCTCTGTGGACTTCAAGGACCTGGACCTCTGGAACATTCACAGTCTGAAGGTAGAACTCTGGTCAGGAGATAGAGGTACTGCAGAAACAGAACCAGATGTTCTGAGGAGGTTCTGGGGGGAACTCTTCAGATGGATTACTGACCTTGGAGCCTCCGGCCAACACCAGGTGTCTGGTCTTGCAGACGAACATGCCTCCGTTCTCCACCAGCTTCTTGCAGTGCAGGAAAGCGAAGCCCCTGAACAGGTGGCGGATTTCACCTTCACGGCCCTGAAGCAGGAAGGAAACAGTGTCAGCTCACAGGAGGAAGGCTGAGGGCTGACAAAGGGAGACAGACCAACCTGTGGACAGTAATGGGTCGATATCTCCAGAAATAAAAGTCACACATCCATGAAACGTGGTGAGGACTCAGACGGGACAGTTTCCAGCAGGTCAGATGGTTAAATGGTTCCAGCAGAGGAGAACAAATTTTCAAACTGGGATGGATTTGTGTCTCCAGAAGGTTCCTGTAGGTGTCTGGATATGGATGGATTCATGCTTCCTACAGAAAACACAGGCTTTGGTCCACATTTCACCAACTGCTGACAACATGGAAGAAGCTTGTAGCTCTGCACATCAAGAACCACCATCTAGAACCAAACCACTGAATCAAATGCTAGAACCAGCAACCAGAACCAACATCTAAAACCACCATCTAGAACCACCATCTAGAACCAACACCTAGAACCACCATCTAGAACCAACACCTAGAACCACCATCTAGAACCAATACCTAGAACCACCATCTAGAACCACCATCTAGAACCACCACCTAGGACCAACACCTAGGACCAACACCTAGAACCAAAATCCAGAATCAAATTCTAGAACCAGCTACTAGAACCAGTGAACTCCAGGTTCTGGTTCCTACCAATGATCCACATCAGCATTTAGTCTAAACATGTAAAAACCAGAACCTTGTCTGGTCCAGCTTCACCTCATCAGGTTCTGCTGATGTTAGAGCCTCAACAGTTGGTGAAATGTGACCAGAGACTGGGTTCTAGTAGAACAATGGATCCATCCATAGACAGACACTGACAGGAACCTTCTGGATCAGAACCAGCCCGGACTGGACACTTGCTGTTTCTTGACATTTTCAAGAGTCAGTAATGAAACCTTGTCCTCTGCTGGATCCGTTGAGTCGTTGGGATCTGATGGAAACCGTCCTGTCTGAGTTCTCAACACATTTACAGAAGTTTGATTTCTGGACATATCGAATATTTACTTGCTGTAAGGGTGAAAATAGAAAAAAATTAAAGGCCTGAAAACGTGAAATTAAAAAAATTCAGAACAAAAATATGCAGTTTTGGGTCCCAGATAACAAACATGACCCGTATTCATGATCAAAGACTATTTCCAGTGTAAAACCACCCATCAGTTCTGTCTCCACTCTGCTGCCACATTAGTCCTTGAATTGAATTCTTCTGTTTATTAGAAACAACAGACGCCAGCAAGTCATGAGTGACTCACTCCTGAAAAATTCTCGTCTGTAAACATGAATGCAGACTGAAGCGAGCCTTAACTTCCAGAATAAACCATCCTGAGGTCCTCGAGTGCATGAAGATAACTTTCTATCGGCTGCGTCGTGTCACCGCAGCAGGAAGTCCTCCAAGCTCCCCTAAATATTTATGTGCAGATGTGCTGATGTTCTTACGGAGTGCGGCCCGTCGATCACTTTGACGATGTCCTTGACGTGGATGTTGTTCTGCTCCGAGTCCAGCGCCACGGCGAACCGGTTGTCCTTCCGGCGGTTCACCGCTTGGTGCCGGACCGTCAGAACCTTCCCGTGCATGTTGAGCACCTGAGACACGGCAGTAAGTCAGTAAACTCGTCACACGCTTGGTGAACACGTGACCCCGTCCCGGAGCGGTCTATTACCTGGAAGGTCTCCCTCTCCAGGCGAACGATGACCCCGACCGTCTGAGGGTCCAGCTGGACCAGCTCGCCCCACTCGTGCTGCCCGCCAGCGTCGACGCCGGACGCCGTTTCTGAGCAGAGCTGCAGGTCTCTGGGCAGAACCTTCAGCTGTGGACACAAAGTGAGACACAACAACGGGAGGCTTGAAATCTGAGGTTTGAAATCTGAGGCTTTCTCGTTGGCGCGTTACATTTCTGAGACGATAAGCTGCTTCTTGAGGCAGCATCTCAACTATCTCGGACAGATTTCTCTTTCTAGAAACCACTGTTACCATCTAGAAGTTGCATCTGTGGGTCAACGGAGCTACAAGTGTGTGCTTCAATATCTGAATCACAATCAGGCTTCATGCAAAGTAAGAATTTTACAGAGTAAGTTTAGTTTTTGCATTCTATCAGAATAAGACAAATATTTAGTGTCTGCTGATACTGGGTCCCAATCTGATACCATCCATCCATCCATCCATCATCTCTACACCTTAATCCTCACTGGGGTGGTGGGGGGCTGGAGTCTATCCCAGCTGACTCAGGGTGAAGGCAGGTGCACCTGGACAGGTAACCAGTCTATCACAGGGCTACACTTAGAGACAGACAACCAAGCACACTCACATTCTGACTACTGATTACTGATTACTGACTGATGCTGCTGCATTCAGCAAGAATATGTGTGCATGTAGTTTGTTCAGCTGGTAAAGGAGCACCGTGATGAAGACCTCTGTGATGTTTAAGGACATCTGTAACAGACTCGCGCCGTGCAGGTCGC